ATTTATTTATTTATTTATTCCAGTTGGTTTTACTTTAAATATCGTGCAAGATTGGTTAAAATATATCGTGAAGCAGTCGTTCTATACATTGGGCAAAATATTAGGGAAATACACTAGTTGCTTGTAAGGGATGCAAAAATTTTCACTGATTTTAATACGTTATATCCATGCATTTGGGATTATGACAATAAATACATCGGGGTCTCTATAACATTTTATTACAAAGCATGATAAGAAGGTTTTAAGAGCAATTGTTACTACAAAGCACCGTATTGGTATTTGGTACTGCATTGTGGTATTAAAACGTGATATTAACATTTCCCCATCCATTTTGATATTGATACTCAACAGGCATGATGCAATTTTCCCCCCACAGGAATTGTGATTTGTGTATCTGGACTTGCTACAAATATCTGGAGGCAATAAATAACGGATCATGTATTTCTCTTGGCCTCTGATGGCTGTTTACTTTATCTATTTAAGTTTCTTGGCCAAGTTTGTTGGTCTGTTTAGCTAAATAAAAATCAATCAATTTACTTCCTTTATGAATCAGTGCTTTTCCCCATTTTTGGCAGAAATATGTGGTTGTGTAACTAACGTGTCTTCTTTTTTTTCGTCACTAAATGTCGACATAGTCAGACAACAACATGAAGATGGCTGAGATATTGTCAATCATTCAAATGCTAGGCAACAGAACCGAGAGAGACTGTCACCTGGCAGGACCATATTGTTGCCGAGTAGACTGATCCAACACGGACTTCCAGCTCAGTACCTCTCAGCAGGAGTCTTATTGGACGTAATTCATCGTCCTAACTTCCTTCCTCTGGCCAACACATCTAGGATCTCAGACTTAATGATGGTGTCGAAGGCCCGGGGCATGCCTATCTCAACAGTGTGAACGTTCAAATGTTTAAAAAACAACAACAATAGCAAGAAAGACTAAGAAGGTAAGCATGGGCATAATCCAATACAATGCCTGCACTATATGTAACATGACATGACGAGAGACTCTAGGAGACACTAGTCTAGATCAATAAAATGACAACTTTGTTTCTGCTGCGGCGTAATACAACATAGACGTGATTTCACGTATAGAGGGCAAATGGAGCAAAGTTTGTAAAATGACTTTGATTTTTTTTTTGTGTGTGATGGGCAAATAAATATGTTTTTTGCCCCAAACCTTCGATGGGGAAACCGAGGGTAGTAAACAAAGAGACAAACTGCAAAAACTATCCGAACGTGGGTACTGTAAATGTCAAGACAATCCAAGACGAATGTAAGTGGCACGAAGTAGTAAACTCATGTAACAAATATGCTGTGTCAATACTAGACCTTTCAGACCACATAATAGTGCACAAAGATAGAGATGAGCCCGTAGTATTTCAAACCTATGCAAATTTTACATTGATTACCCCCTCAGCTTGAAGGAATAGGAACAACGCCTCTTTAGATGGAGAAGGTCTACTTATAGGTAAAGAGACGGAAAATGCTTTAGCTAAGGTCAAACCTTAGAACGAAAGAATACTAGTAGCAAACTTCATATTTAAAGGCTACCCAACTTTAACTGTCATAGTCCAGTACCAGTAATTTAGTTCAGTACCAGTAGTTAAGGGTTCTCCTGATGAACCAATCCCTTAGAGCTTTCTCAAACTTGATATTTTGGCTAAACCATCCACCATGGAGGAATACATAGCTGTCAAGAGCAAACTAAAACTGGGTAAGGCAGCTTACCCTGATGGAATTCCTCCCGAGGCTCTAAAACTGTGCGATTTTCATGACATCATGCTGTCATTTGCTAACAAGTTGTTCCTAGGTAAGAGGCCTTAACAGTTGGCGATTGGAACCCTTGTGCCGGTTCCCAACCCAGGTGACTTAACTGAATACACTAACTACAGAGGTATTATGCTCGCTTCGGTTGGAGCAAAGATAACCAACAAAATAGAATACAACCCGGAGAAGATAAGCTCCTCAGACCAAACCAAAACGATTTCCGCCCGGGTCGTTAAACAACTTCACAAATCATTGCTCTTGGACAACTAATAAAAGGAGTACTGAGTAAGAATCTGCAGGCAATTATTCATTGATTTTAGCAAAGCTTTTGATAGCTCTCAGGGGAAATGATGAATATCTTAAAAGCGTACGGAATTCCACAGGCACTGGTTGATGTAATCAACATACTGTACAAGAACACACGTGCGAAAGTATTGTCCCCCGATGGTTAAACTGAATTGTTTAAAATTACAGCGGGTGTACTACAGGGTGACACACTAACGTCTTACCTCTTTGTTACAGTCTTAGACTTCATAATGAGGCAAACTCTTGGAGAAGAGAAAGAAAACTCTATTTTGAGCTTGAAAGCAGAAAGAGTACTCGTCATCCTGCTGTTGTAATTGATGATCTGGACTTCGCAGATGACATGGCTCTGCTGACAGGAATAATCAAGCAAGCACAGGAACTACTATTGCGTCAGCAAAAGTAGGCTTGAATCTTAACGCGAAGAAAACCAAGCTTATGGCATACAACAAGTTGTTCCCTTCGTCATCCAAAACAGGAGCGGTGACCTAGTATATCAACAAAGGGAGGTCACCGAGGGGGTAGAGGTAGTCAAAAACTTTAAATACCTGGGTTTCAACATGCAGAACTCAGAAAAAAATCGAAATAAGAAAAGTGCTCGCCTAGAGTAGCTGCCATAAGCTGTATAAAATCTGGGAATCCAAGTTATGGAAAACCAAAATTAAACTTCCTGATTGTCACAGAAGAATCGATACTGCAGTATGGTAGTGAAGCTTGGACGCTGACTTCTTCTTCTTACGCTGACTAAATCCCTTGAAAAGCACATTAATTGCTGCTACAAAAGATGCTCCGTATGTGTCTGAACATCTTATGGGAGCGAAAACTCCCCGACGAGCAACTGTATCAGGAATTGTCTGCACTTACGGAGGAGATCAAAACTCGCAGCATTAAACTTGCATGAAACCGATTTCAAAATCGACAACCCCTATTTATAGTGGACGTAAACACATAACCTTCTGACGAAGGTAATAATGACAGTAAGGAAATGTGTTATGACGTTAATCCCATGTGTGAAGTGTTCGTTGCTGACTCCATAGTCACCTGGTGAACGTCTTTGATTGTTAACTACCTATTGACAAGTTTCTTGCAGGACCACAAGTGTATATTATAATCTTCTGTGCTCTGGTTTTCAAACTGAAAGAGCTGGTATGGTGGTATCAATGACAAACCCTCAAAACATCACAGAATTCTCAGTTTAGACATAATGTGCTTCAAACCTTATCCGTGACCTAGGGCACATGTGTTCCTCATTTTTATTATAAGATTAATAATCCTTTTATTCGAGGTTTTTTTTTGGGGGGGGGGGGTTTGTTCACCGAACATGTTGTAAGCCAAATTACCCTGCTTTTTACGAGGTGGGGTGGGGTAATTCTATGTAACTTACAAACTACTTATTTTCAGGGGATAATGTACAAGTAAAATTAAATCATAAGAGTAATTTTGGTGCATAATACATCATTTTGACGTCAATTTAGGTGATTTTGCTGAAACCGTGTAAAGATGTTTTCCTGTAAAACTGCACAAAATGAAATAAAAAGGGTGTATGACAGAATATTAAGGTCTGCTAAGACTTATAATGCCCATGACAACACGGAAGCCAACATGACGTAAAATGTTCTGTGAACGCACTTTACTTTAATTATAGTTTCACTATGTTCAAGTTTGATTAATGACGTCATCAATTAGCACACATAGTGAGAATTTGAATATGGTTGAAATTACTAAGAATAACTATTACTACTGATTAGAATTGAAATTTTTGGAGGATACTATGCTAGTTAATTAACGAGAGCTATTTATTATCCTCCACTAGACTAACTAGGGGTGGTAGGTCTCACATGCTGATTTCGAGTCGTTGCAAAACATCTACATTTGCAATGTTGTACATCGCCCGACTAGTGACCGAATGAAATAAACTAGAAACGCCAATTAGCCAATTAAGGTCTTAGGGATTGCAGCGTCAAGTCAGTCTAACATTTTTCATTACAAACGGTGTCTTGTCCTGCCAGTAAGCTACAGGTTTCAGGACCACTTTGACACAGACATCATATGTACATGGTCTGCGGCTTGCAGATGTGGGGCATGCATAGCATTTAGGTCGCGCTGACTGACATGTTACATGTCCATATTTTTGTATGTATCTTTATGTATTTACTCTCACAATGTGTATGATTTCAGTGTTTTACAATGTTTTTTTTATTGATGTAATTTGGGGAGGGAGCTCGTAAAGGTGACTCACCTGTTTTCTCCCCCCTTCCACACATCTGGTGGAAATTTAAATAAACAAAATAAACAGATTAACAAAACCGCTAGATTTTAACACTGTCAAACCATTGGATTTTTCAGTTCTTAAGTTTAACTTTGTTCCATGAGGGAACTTACCATGAATTTCCAGTCGATCTCGTCAACCTTTTGTCAGATATATATAATGCACTCTCTAACACCACAGAGGGGCTTTTATTCAAGTATTCATTTTGTCTTTGTTTCAGGTTTGCTTGTAAAGAGATAACAATGAGGCAACAAAAATGCGCCCTGCTCCTGCTGGCCATGATGGTTTTAATAGCCATGATTAACATGAAAGATCATGTGGGTCTTTATTATAACTCACTGACACAGGAAACACTTGTCAGGTAGGCATATAAGAAATTATGTAATTTATACGATTATGATTTTTTTTCATCTTGTATATCGACACATAGTAAAATGTTGGTGCTCTTGATACGTATATTTCCGATAGATTTGGGATAAGGTGTAGTGTAATATGGGTTACTAGACTACTAGGTTAATTGTAGGTAAATAACACATTCATAGCTTGGCTATAGAGTCATGATATTTAGTATGTTGGTAGGTCTTAGAAAGGTAAAGAACAATGTCAACTGCAGAAGAACTTCAGGTTTTTGTAATCCTGAACATGCTATGGTCTTGGAATCTTGGTGAAAGGTAGCTATTTCTGTTACGAATAATTGGTGTGGGTTTTGTCCCTCTAGCAACGTGTTCTGGAACTTTAGGGTAGTTTCTGACGAAATCGTTTTTAGCGGATTAGTCCAAAAAGGAACAAAGTATTTTCTACATTTTATATGTAGGTAGCTTATAGAATAATGAATACAATTAAATGCAAATTATTCAAAAAGAGACCAAATTTGCATGAATATGGAGGAAATTCTGTAATAACAGTGTTTTACATAAAAAGTACTTTCATACATGTGATGTAACTTAAGTCTTTCTTAAAATAATAAATTAACAATTATACGAATCAGGATATAGTCTGTATAATGCTGACTGTTCAAAATTTCGCCATATGTATATTGTGAGCTAAAAGAACATCGGCAAATGTTGGTTACTCCAATGTAGGCATAATTTGTTTAACTTATCTGTAAACGCTGTAAGTCCACGGGTGTAACTGACGGGACTTCCCTACTTGTGGTGTTTGGAAGTAAAGGCAAACAACACTGATTATAAATTCAGGACCTCATCTGCATAATTTATGAAAACATTCTAGAATAGCCCTCCTAAATAAGATAGCGCGTTTATTATGTTGAGAACACGTTTATTTATATACTTTATCTAAATAAGGCTTTTGTTTTCATAATAAGTGAAAACATCATTCGTCTTGGTTAACGTTATTTTGCGCTCATGGAACTCAAATAGTTTTAGCATGGTATCAATATCACATTAGACGACACTTGTTGTCAGGATAATTTTGCATTGCATAAGATATAGGTAATCACGTTTATTTAAATGTGCTTTCTGACCCAGTTATCAAAGTGTACGTTCTCATTGATGTGGCGTGCTAAGGTTTAAATGGAACTTTCCGTGTTTTGAGTCTTTGATTATGAGTAACTCACACATTACAATACTGACGAAAAATTACGTATTCAAATAAATAATATAGATATGTTAAAACGACAAACGAGAACCAAGAAACAGCTACTAAATATCCTTTTGTTTTCTAGAGATCTCCAGGAAAAAGTACAAGATAAAGGCAATGGCAGCGTTACAAATAGATCGAAAAATACACCCGTGGAAAAGGCGCCTGATGGGCAAAAAAGGTACATGGGCAACTAGAACAAGGACTGAGTAAGCCTAAACTTACTGTGAACACAACCTACAACTGAACATCATAAGATACAGACAGACGTGGTTATAGTAAATTTACCTTGAGGGACCTTTTGTCTCCAAACAATTCGACATCTGTTTAAAATAAGTTCGTATAACCGCCATACCGGTTTTATAATCACTAACCCCATCAAGCTCACTCAAAATCTTCATACGACTAGTTCCCCCTATAAACCCTCTGTCACCCATTGCTAAGGACAGTTGGTTTAGATTCATATCACTGCCAGTTTTTAATGCATGCCTTTAACTCCTGTTTGAATGGTTCGGGTTCCACAGTAAAAGCCTGTGTTCCTAATCATATTCTCTCCTGCAGTAACCAAAAAAAAACAAACGTAGGCTTCCTTTTAGTGTGTGTTGTTTTTAGCGTTTGTCATATTGTTATTTGACGTTTGTATCCGCTGTTATATCAGTCTTTTTTGTTTCATGTCAGGAAGAATCATTCTTATTACAAATGGGTACCAGGGGAGTTAGCTGCTATGAAGAAGTTCAAGGCCGACCAGAAAGGCATACCCACAGTTGCACCTGGGTGGGTCTACAACAAGACAGCTGCTGATTTGTTTCGGTAAGAGACCCGTTTTTAAAACCTCTAACCATGAGTTTCATTGCAAGGTCAGCAGTGGGCTAGGCTCCTGACTAGATGACCATACATCATAATGCATACATCAAAAGTGGGTCGTGTGGCGTAGCGGTAGCGTCTTCGGCCCAGACTCGAAAGGGCGAAGGTTCAAATCCTGCCCAAAGCAAGGCAACCACTATCAGGTTTACCCAGTATTTACCGCTGTTGTTACGCAAATATTCTAAGCCGTGTCTGTCAGAATTACACGTTGTAAATGTCATTTTAGATGGAGTTTATTTCTGGATTTTATAAGAAGGGCTCACTCCAGAAATATGGGTTTACTTAAAGCATTACTACCCACAATAATTATACACTAGCCAACTCGATCAACTATAGCAACCATTAACAACCTTACGTGGTATTTATCATCAGCAGTATATCCAACTTCCCCTGCAAAGAAAAAAACAAACGTATCACTATTTTTAGAATCCATCCAGTTGCTAGTGTAATGTATTTCTTAGGAATTTCTGCACTGATAATAAACATATCTTACTTCTATTCATTTTTTTGTATTCCACAGGAAACAGATAAAACACGGCAATCACATTAAAAACGGAGATTTTCTGACAACACAAGAAACTGCACCACTGGACTTCATATTAAAGCGCTACCAGTCTGAAACAACGCTAATGAACGTGTCTAGAGAAATATTACACCGATTTCCTAAAGTTGGTTTTCAAGATTATTGTCACTAATTATAATCTAAAGAAAAATGATGGACAGAAATGTGGTCGTTTATTTGACGAATAGGAAATATTTTGAATATTTCAACACAATTTTACGGGATTACATATATCCACCATTATATAAAAATCATCTAAGTAGATGTTAATTCTATGACTTTGCTTTCTTAACCCTATCTAGTCGGGGGGGGATAAAAGTGCCCGCGCCACATAGCGTCTGAACGGCTAGTAGTAGAACGGCCAAACTTAATGACTTTTCCTAGAATATTGTCGGCAACAATGATGTATCATTGGATTAAGATGTGTTGCCATGGCAACGGGTTTCTGACAGGCATTTTTTTACTAAATTTAGTAATTTTTGTTTCAACTATAGAATTTTATGGGTTTTATGTGAAGTTATACATGGTTTCTAATATTAATAACATCCCATATAATTTTATGTAAATTTTATTACTATAAATGCATAATTTTTGCTAATTTTTGACGTCATTGGCCAAAATCCAAGATGACGGACCATATCATTAGAATAGGTATATACAGGTTATTTTTCATACCATTCCAATTCATATTAACGTCTTTTGTCTGTTTAAAATGTATTTTATGCTTTATGATTAAAAACTATTTTTGAAAATTCAAGATTGATGATCCAAAATGGTGGATAGCTTAAATATGCATGACGTCATTTTATGACGTCACCGGTGTTGCCATGGATAGAATAAGACTTAGTACACCCTAATGTTCTGTCATAAACACTTTTGGTAAAGTTATGTACCATTTAGTTTTCAGGGAATAACCGATCTAGACGGTTTTGGCCAATAAAATCACATTAATGACATTATAATAACGTCAAATATAATATTTCGTCATAACGACATAAAAATTGTACTTGTAATTTTTACTAGTACACCATCCTCTTAAAATTTGGTGGTCATACGACATACCGTTCGCGAGTTCTGAGGGGGGGGGGTCGAATGAGCACCCCAGCGGGTCCCACCAAACCCCAAAAGCCTAGTCTAGATAGGGTTAACGTAGGCATATTCTTTGGTCTCATAAGACCATGCCATTCTTGATAATGTAGTATTTAATGATGTAAACAAGTCATATTGCACGTGTTTTTCAAGTGCGGGTCTGCCACTTTAGCAACTTTTCCCTTTGTTTAACTGTACGGAGAATCTCTCACCGCATTTGTTTACGTATTAATATCAACGATAAACTAAATGACGACGACTGTATTCTTGCCCAGATAAAAGGTCTGTATAGTCATGCGCTAATACAAAACGAACTTTGATTTTTGCTTTTTCTTCTCGTATCACAACTGCTGCACTCTTCCCCTCCAAAACTCATGTCCTTTCTCTGGGGGTCAGGGCTTCCAGGTTCTCCTTGGTGCATGGTTCGGGCAGGAGGCCCCATGGTCTGCTCCTGCCCACAGTCTCATGCAGTTTGTCCGGCTGGGACGAGACCCCATTTTTCAGTAGTGTCCTGCATCTTCCTGTGCCTGTTCTTAGGCGGTTGAGACATGCCCAGGTTGGCCATGCCTCCTCCGCTCCTGGAGGGATGGATTCCTTTGGGGTAAAGGTTAGCTCGTGTGGGACATCTTGGAGATGGTTGGACCACATGGCCATCCTCTGTGACTCTGCATTATTGCTAAGTGGCTCAACTGAGGAAGCTGTGTCTCGATTTGAGTCTTTTACATGCAGGAGCTTGTTGGTGAACTACATGTACATGGAGTGGGTCGGTCTCCTGGTTCAGTTTCTATCGCTTTGCCGCCACTGCTCTTTTTATGTGTGGTCGTGCGATGCCGCACAGCAGGTAGAGATCATCGACTCTCGTGGAGCGTAGGCATCCAGAGACGGCTCTACAGGCGGAGGTCAAAGCTTCAAAGCAAGTTCAATTTGTGGTATGTGATGACCTACACCACACAGGGGCTGCGTGTTCTGCTGTAGAGAAGCACCGTCCAAAGGATGTGGCTCGTGCGGTACTTGCATCTGCGCCCCACTTTGTCTTCGCGAGCTTCCTGCTTTTTGTCCTCCATATGTAAAAACGAGGTTGTGTGCATCCATTGAACACTCACAGTTATGGGACTCCACTGGCACTAGAGTTGTATCAAAGTGACAAATTACCGACAGCAATTGTTTCCGCATTATGATGTTTTACCCAGCTTCTGCAGTATCAGTGAAGTGTATGTTCACCATTGGGGAAACACCTCTGACGATGCATTACGCAAACAAAGCTATTTTTTATATTTTGTCTGTACAACTCCTTAGTAACATAATCCAATCTGTTCTCAAATCCGAGGTATTATTTCTCAACAGATTATTCCGCAATGCATTGGTGCGTTTGCACTCATAGCCATATTCAAACTGTTGCCATTATGTGTATTTCTAGTTGTATGTTTTCTTTTGTAAGGGCGATGGATGCCTTAACCCTCAAACACCCGAACGGGGTCCATTTGAATCCCAGGCGTATATTTTTATTTGCTATTTGAAATTTTTCCATTCGAAAAAAATTCCTCCCGTGACTTCGTCGATAAACCTCTTCTACACGTTCTCCTAATTTTTTTTTTTTTTGAGATTGTAAAAATAACAACTGAAGTCTTAAGTAAGACCGTTTGGACCCCAGCCTTGTATTTGCACTTTCCCACAAACAAAATTGTTCGGATGTCCTCAATATGTCTTTAAGGAAGCATTATTGCTTCAATATTATGCAGTTTGCCAAGTAACCTCAACCTCAGGAATTAGGTCATCAGGTTTTCAGAGGTGTGACAATTTGACAATCATATGAGGTCAAAGGTCAACCCCATGTTCATGCCTGCATGCCTCATCCTATTTTTGCATAAATTATGATAATGAGCTGGACTTTTTAACACACTAAATCATGCCAAATTATACCTCTTACTATGTTTAACCAATATATGTGCAAAGGTCACGGAAAGGATGCAAAAAGGAATATAAATTTGAAAGAGAGCAAATGGGGTCCATTTTGACCCCGTTCGAGCATTAACGTCACAAAAAAAGTTCGGGTGTTTGAGGGTTAAATAACGAATAAAAAATGTAACACCTCTTATATGTCAGTTACTAATTAATATTGAGCTTTATATGTAAAATATTACCATATTGCATTTTTTTACCCAGACAAGCCCTTTCAAGGCCAAGGTCATTAAAACATGCAGTGTTGTAGGGAACGGCGGTATACTGAAAGGAAGTGGATGTGGAAAAGAGATAGACGCCTCGGGATTTATATTTAGGTAAGGGATTCTGTAAAACATCTATATGAAAGGAAAACTTAACGGTGTGGTACTATTATTACTAGTGCTTAGAAGTCTTACCAACTAGACCCTTTACGTATATATACAATTCTATAATTCTGTGGTAAAATGGTTACAAAACCGACTAGGTACTGATCAGTTAATCGACCAGGCAGAGCCCAGTCACCACCGATCAAATGCTGACACCCGGAACGTAGAGAACTCTGAGTTGTTGCCTAATTAAACTGTATTTGCCAGGTGGCTATTTACCCACACCCCTACGACTCATTACATGTGTTATTGTAATGGTTAAACATCGCACCTTAAACGTCATCACAATATTATTGCTACAGATTATGCTTGATAACCATATTCCCCTTTAACTGTAAACTGTTTAACTGAAAACACTTGGTCAAATGAACAATGATGATGTTTGGTATATTTTGCAGGTGCAACATGGCGCCGATGAACAAAGTGTACTTAAAAGACATCGGGAAAAGCACCAGTCTCATCACACTCAATCCTGACATGATAAGGTGGAAGTACGTGTAGGATCTTCTTACATAAAAATCTTCACTCTCGGGAATCTTATAAATCGGGTTGTTATCAATAAAAATACACGACCCCACGTCCACCGCACCAGGCCCAGGTCCTGTCCATTCTCTGATGGTCCCGGGGAAGAACAAGAGCCTGTAGAAGTTGGCAAAAAAACAGTTACTCAATTACGCAAGCAACTGGATATGATTTTGAAAACGTCAGACGTTTCAGCTAGTATCCACTAGCTTTCGTCAGTGACTGAGAGACCAGAGGGGAAAGCAGGTTTATATACACAACCTGTTGATTGATATGCAAATAAAGTGAAGACAAATTTTTGGAAGTCGAAAAAGGAACAAAAGTCAGACAAGTCAAGACAAGATGATGCAAATTAGTCTGAAAGCTCCTGTTATACAGGACAGGAGCTTAAGTGTTGTCTGTCCTCGGGGCTGGGAGTGCCAAAAATCAAGTGCCGGAAAGATCGACCCGTAGCCCCCCTTCCCTGTTGAAGGTGGGGTTGTACATTCTGTCATATATTGCCTCTTTAACACCCCGTTCCCACCAGCGTGTTTCGCGGTCTAAGACATCCGTGGACTCGAGTTTGAAAGAGTGACCCTGGTTGTGTTGTAGGTGGTGGAAAATAGCTGAGGAGTAGCCGTTGGCACTAGGTCGGCAATGTTCTTTGTACCTTACTTTAAGCGGTCGACTTGTCTCTCCGATGTAGGTGTTGTTACAATTGGGCTCCTCACATTTAAGTCTGTAAATAACATTCGCCTTGGTACCTTTGTGAGGTCGGTCCTTAGGGTGTACCAGTCTTTGTCTGAGGGTTGAGTGCGGTTTGAAGTTAGTGGCTATGTTGAAGTTTTGGAAGATCCGTCGGAGTTTCTCAGATACTCCTTGGACATACGGAATAGTGATGTTGGCCTTGTTTTTGTTGGTCAATGGTTTGCACTTCTGGGTTTTCTTAGACTGATCTGAAGGTTTGAGCGCTTTGTTGAAAGTCCAGTTTTGGTAGCCACATTTAGCCAGGGCACCTCGGAGGTGTCTATGTTCGTCCGTTTTGGCTTGGTCTGAAGTGACAATGTTGTCTGCACGATGGAAGAGAGTTTTGATCACTGCTAGTTTGTGTTCCAAAGGGTGATGGGAATCAAAGGCCAGGTACTGATCAGTGTGGGTTGGTTTCCTGTACACTTCGAAACGAAGGTTACCATCTTCCTCTACGATAGTTTTGGTGTCTAGGAAAGGGAGCATGTTGTCATGGCTTGGCTCCTGTGTGAACTTGATGTTGTCATCTATCTGGTTGATGTGGTCAAAGAAGTCCGCAGCTACCCTCTTTTTCAATCTGCACCAAGTGTCATCTACATATCGAAACCAGTTGGCCGGGGGAGTGTCATTGAAAGTGCTGAGGGCTTTGTTTTCAAACTTCTCCATGTACAGGTTTACAACAATTGGTGAGACTGGTGATCCCATAGCACAGCCGTGCATTTGTTGGTAGAACTGTCCTTTGTAGGTAAAGTATGTGCATCCTAAGCAGAGTTCTAGTAGCTCACAAACTTGGTCAACGGATAGGTTGGTTCTATCTGCAAGTGTATCATCGGCTTCCAAGGCTTCCTTGACTACTGACACTGCTTCCTTGGGTGGTATGGAGGTGAAAAGTGAGCACACGTCATACGAAGTGATAGTTTCATCATCCTCTACATGAATGTCTTTGATTCTGACGTTTTCAAAATCATATCCAGTTGCTGTTCCAGTTTTGAACCAAAATCATATCCAGTTGCTTGAGTAACTGTTTTTTGGCATATCGTATTACCTGGATGTCTAACCTTCATCGACGTAGCCTGTAGAAGTTGTTTTCAATCGCGATAGCCTTCATTGCTTGAGAGTTAAAGTCTACCCAGACACATAACCGGCTCTTCAACACTCATCACAAAAACCACCTTTTGTACTAAATTACACTTTTGCACCGATGTTACACTAATATCTTTAGTTATCCTAAGTCTTTAACCCATTCCAATTTATATTCATGCACCATTTTCTGCTAGGTACTAATAATTTTCGTATACTAGTATTTATCTGTTTGTATAGCTTGCACATTGTATTGTATTTTGTCACCAGCACTACTTAGGAGACAGAATTATGTATGATAGAGTGTTTGGTTCTCTTTAACAACTCTAGATACAATTCATTTAAGAATAAAACGAAGTCGGAAAACGTTGCAGCCTTTGTGCGGGACCTCTCCACCTACGGGAACAGCTACCTTTGGATCCCTGCGTTCTTCAGTCAGGATTATGTGGAAGTTACTTTCGCAGCACACCAAGCTCTGAGGGAAATTAACCACACGAACAACGAAATCATCATACCTCATCCTGATTTTATAAAATCAGCGCAGTCATACTGGTCACAAAATGGATTGAACCGTAAAAGAGCGACCACGGATATATATTAGGAACCATTTTAATGGTTTCTTTCGCTCTACCTTATTTTATCTATTTCATTTTTCATTTTAAACAATTTAACGTAAGATGACCGAAATCATTTTGTCATGTTGTAGACTTATAGCTTCCTTTTATATTGCTACTTTTCTTTGGTATGTTATATATATTTCCTTTATTTGTCTAGGGTTATACCTAGTCAGTGCAGCCATACAGATATGTGAGGAGATGCATCTGTACGGCTATTGGCCCTTCCACTCCGACAGGAACTACAGACGTCTGACTGAGCACTACTTTGACAATGCCCTTCCCGGCAAAAGCCACAGCGTACCGGATGTGTTCAAATAACTACAGCGTCTGCACAACACAGGGGTTCTCCGTCTGACTACTAATGCTTGTCAGTGAGGAGACAATACCTATGACTTGAAGTTCCAATTTAACCCTAAACAGTACACCAGCACTATATATGCTATAATATTTTCCTTGTTTGTAAAGATTTTTTTCTGAAATTTCAGGTAATTGTCACCCACAAAGTTGTCCCTCAATACAGTGCAGAAAACTCAGTTTTTCCCATTTTTTAAGATTTTTATATCTGATTTTCTTTTGGGGTCCGCGCGGACCCCAGCCGGCTTTCGATCGTAATGGATATACTGGCGTTCTTATACATTACTTTATTTCCGTTTTAATATGTTTCTATGCACTTATCGTATGGCCACCAAATTTTCAGAGAATGGTGTACTAATATAATTAAATTCTAACAATTTTAGTGTAATTATGACGTCATATGACGTCAGAGCTAATAATGTGGTCCGCCATCTTGGCTTTTGACCAATGACGTCATCAAATTAGCATATATTATTAATATTAAATGGTTTAACTTATCTTTAGTTATGTAAGATGTTATTAATGTCAGAACGGAAGTGTTATTGAATATAAATCCCTGAAAATTTAAAAGTTTAAACCGAAATTACCTATTTTTTCCATAAAACTACCTGTCAGAAACCCGTTGCCATGGCAACACAAAAAATCATTAACTTATTTAACTAATATGAATTTTTTTCCAGATGCATTTTAGGAAAGGTCACCAAATTTGATGACTGTAGCTCAAGCCGTTCAGGTGCTATCTGAGATTAAAGTTGGCGCGAGCCTCAAAAAAACTCTAGGTCTGAATAGGGTGTAAAAATCGGGTTTTTCTTCTTTTTGTCTTGTCTTCGCCAAAAAATAGGAAAAGGTTAAAATGTATGATTTTTGTACGTGATGTGGACTCAGAGGTTCACACATCAATTTGCAAAACAATTGAGCTGGTATCATGTTGATAATTTCTAAAAATTAGCAAAAAACTGCTTTGGGGTCCGGGCGGACCCCAGGTGTACAGATTCATCAGTCCGGGAAGGTGTACTGTTGAGGGTTAAACTAGAAAGACCGACATTTGCTTTCGAGCAAATTCAGCATGGCTTCACCACATCCTTTACGTCATAGCAGGAAATAATCAGAATACAAGGGAAAACAATTTTTTTTACATCGATAGAACTATAATATGAAGTGACAAATAACAAAAAATATATAAACAGTTGGGTAGTTATCCCCTACATTATTGATTAAAATTTCTGTTTGCATAATGTAAACTGTTGATTTTTAAGATGAAAAAATCATTTATGCCCTGCATTCTAATGCTTGAACAGGAAAGTTTGACAAACCTACCAAAACACTTCAATACAGTACCTTCTTTCAATATGGTATGGGTTGTGAAGCTGTCGGTGGAGGTAACCAAATTATATCCAACAGCCAATCAGCAAGAAGAGTACAGGAAAGCTGCATGCCTATTGGTTGCTAACTGTGCATACCAGACAGAGGACTCATGGATAATCACCCCTAACTATATTGTAAATTGTGACCTTAAACAGTCAAAAAGTCCCAAATAATACATGTTAAAGGGATAGCGTTGCGAAAATTATAATTACTTGTTATCGGTAGACATATAAAGCAAAGTTATCTAGACCAAATTTCAGAAGATTTTAGTGTAATACCAGGTCTCCAGGACCCGAAATGAACAGATTTTGTTGGAAAATGACCAAAAAAGAATTATGCCTGTATCGGAAAAAAACGCCTGGGGGTATTTGCCTTAATACCAAATTTTATGCTATTTGGCCCGAAAATGAAGGAGTTGAATCAACTTAAAGAAATGGCAGGATGAGAATAAGGAGACGACATAGTGGTAAAGCCATAAAAAGCTATTTTACACATAGCAAAGCAGAAAAAAAGTGGCGAAACTAAAAAAAAACAATCAAATTTTCTCAAACTTTGTGTGGCCTTGGCCCAAACCTACAAAAATGGGTAAGTTTTAGACCCCTGGTCTAAGACCCCTGGTTGCCATATGGCAACGGCCATTAAAAAACTTGTTAAGTCTTCTGTATCTCACAGACACTCACAGTAACACGTATTTTCCTGTCTCTAGCATATTTTCTTATCCATATTTTAACAAAGAAAATGATATGAAGTTTTGCTCCAAATGTTTTGCGGTGAGCTGTAGCCTGTCTTTGTAAAATTTCAAAATTGAAAAAAAAATTGGGACGTTTTCAGCGAACCATGGCCGCTAAAAATGCAGAAGGTATTAGTTGATTTTTAGAAAAGTAATGGCTTAGACCATCGTACACATCATATCAGAAAATATTTTGGGGGCTTTATGGGGCGGATCACAGTGACCCCAATACTAAACCATTAATTCCAGTGTCAAAGAATTGCAAACACTGCATATAGGTAAATAAAGCATCCATATTTTATGGGTTTAGAATCATGAAAACGAAATCTCAAGCTTTTTTTTCATGTTGCAAGAAATCTTACCTTGCATTAACAAAAGATGATTCCTTCTGGACTGACAACGGGTTACCATGGTAACAGTCATATGGGGAGGGGCGGTGTTTTGAGGCCCGCACCCAGTTTCTTGTTGTGTAATTTCTGAACAGTTTCAGCTAAAACCACCAAACTTGGTGACTTTTTCTCAAATAGATTTGACAATGATTCATATTGGTGAGTTTAATTTATTATTTCATGATGCCATGGCAACGGGTTGCTGACAAGCATATTTCACAAAATTCAGTAATTTCAGTTTAAGAAATGATTTTTTTTAGTTTTTTTCTTGTAATATTGTACTTTTTATCAAACATTTATGACATTCATGTAATGTCATGTAATTTTTATTAATAGAATTTTATAATTCATGCTAATTTGATGACGTCATTGGTCAAAATCCTAGATCATATCAGTAACTCGGTATATACTCACTCGGGTATATAACTCGGTTTTTTCTCTCTTAAAAGCTCAAATCTAAATTTTAAGCATTCATGGATAGTATCACGTGATTTTGTGTAATTTTCATGACAACATATGTTTCATGTTAATTTGATGACGTCATTACTCAAAATTTAAGATGGCGGACCAAATTAGTAACTTTGGTAAATCCAGGTTATTATCTCTAAAATTCAAGGGCTACTTTGTGTTTTTTATATAAGATTTAATTGTATTTTTAAGCAGAACTAAATGCTAGGAAATGGAGATAAATGAACTTTTCTTCCATTTTTAATGATGCAAGGACCTTACGGCACTCCTACAAAATGTTAAGTTAACAACTAGTTTCCATGAAAGTTTTTTTTTTAATTGCTCAAATAAGGCTACCCACTGGCTGTCAATACCATTCGTTGTGTGTTATTATGCACGTATGCTTTCATCCCTGCCTCAATCAATTCCATAACTGCGTGCCTTTGCAAGCTCCTATTACTTTGAGATGCATAAAACATGGGGGTGCTGTCTATCTAAACTGTTGCATACCATTTTTAGCAACAGTCGTTTGCACCTCACCGCGTGTCTTTTGCACCTTGACTGGGACCACACTTCTTGCCCCCTTCTTGGCGAATGTCAAACTTATAGTCACGGTATTTACAATGTCATTGTTTAACTTAATCATTGTACTCAAAATATTCAGCGAATGTCACTTTACATGTGATGAAGCAGCCTGATCCAGGTCAATCAGCTGTGTCATTAATGCCCCCCGTGCTCACCTTTCTGTATATACCAGCAGGATGACTCTGTCCATCAAGGTTTCCCTTACAATCGTCATGACACTAATGTCTAGGTGCTGTTTGAAATGATGAAAAGATGTGAGTCGATGCACCCTCCTTCAGGACAGGGAAACTCCCATCACACACGCTGTTTTGTTGTATCCGAAACCCAGAGCTTTCTTTTATGCATAAATCATGCAAAGAGTCGTTCGGTCTTACCTGAGGAAATGTGTAAAGATGTGGGCTTGTCTGAAGTCATCAGGATGCCTTCCAAGGATATTTAAAGAAGGGAGAATGAGAGTCATTTTGAATTTTGATCATGGTAACCACTTCTCTGGTCCGACATTGTAGACCTGCCACACCCGTACACTACTTGTGGAAAGTAGGAGGTTCTGAAGACTAAAGTACTGTAATACCGTTAAGTTTGACATTGGCCTTTTATTTCTTCCTACTTTGGCAAGTCATCAATAGTTATGTCAGCTCCAACGGAGGTTGTGGTCATGCCTCATTTTAGAAAAAGATGCAGCTGTTAGGCCTGGTCTTTATTTATATTCATATATATATTCATATATGTTCATATATATTCATATATATTCATATATATATTCATATACATTCATATATATTCATATATATTCATATATATTCATATATATTTATATGTTGGACATTTGGGAATGACTTTCTATTGGAAGGCCCTTTACTACATTATGAGTCGGACAATTCTCTCGATGAAAATTCTCCTTTTTTCCTGCAGGTTTGTAACGGGATTACCATAGTGGTACACAGGAATACTGTACAAGGTTATCCATAAGAAGTTGCAACTACATTGACATAAAAATGAAAATAAAACTTTTCTATTTAAAAAAATATCATGGTAACCCTATATCAATCGAGAAGGAATCTTTTGAGTGCGCAAGCTACGTTTCCTTGCCACATGATAAAAATATCAAACTTCAGAATTAGATTTTTTTCAATTTTGAAATTTTACAAAAACAGGCAATCTTTAACCGTCTAATACAGCTCACCGCAAAAAAACATTTGGAGCAAAACTTTATATCATTCTTAATCATTGTTAATATATGGATAATGAAATATGTTAGAGACAATAAAATATGTGTTATTTTCTGTGAGATACAGAAGGTCAAAGATAGTCTATTTTGAGCGAGACCAATGCCTTCACAAGGCGAAAATTTACGTAAATGCTGATAGATACGAGGTGCCATCGCTTGAAATGAATGTCGAGTAATGGTCCCAAATTAGAAAAAAGACTACCGCGAACTTTAACACATAGAATTTATTAAGAAATA